TGCATATCACCCCGGCCAATAGGCAAGTCCCCCTCTTATGCAGTTACTCCCAAAATATGGGCAGGTACATCTGCTGCACCCTACGCACCAAGTCAAGCCATTGCCCCCACGTCGTAAAGCCGTAGTGGCCGACCTCTTGCCGACATTTAGGTAAATCACAGCTCGCGCGGCTGGCCCAAAGGTAAGTAGGCGCCGAATGAATCTTCCACTAGAATACGGGGAGATCCTTCCGCCATCCCCGACCCCGCTCCTTGACACTCCACGGCTCCTCCTTCGGCCGACGGGTAAGTTCCCCTATGCTGCCTCAATCGACATGATGTGCAAATGGGATGAATCTTCCGCTAGAACGCGGGGAGATTCATTCTCCTCCGTTCTTACACCACGCGGCTTTCCGATGCGTATACGAGTGACCCCACTAATCTAACATAAAAATTGACGCCACCACCACGTTCACTGCACCTCGAAATCTCAATCTACTACCCTCCCTTTCTGTTTGTTCCCACCAAAGGACGAACGGGGCATGGTTGTTCCCTCATCAACTTCTCACAACCTCACCTCCCGTACTACCAGGATCGCTACTCTAATCGAGGGTCTGGCCTCGCCATTCCACTCGCAATGCGCTAAACCCCATACGTAGCATCTTACCCTGCCCATGTCTGTTTGTGAATGGACGAGATATGCTCCCTCCTCTTCTCCACGTCTGCCCGGTCGTCGTCTCCACGCGCAGCCCGCTTTCCACCCAACTCCCTACCCACTGACCCATTATTAAAACTAACACCACCATCGCCTTCGCCCTCCCAAAAACCTCCGGGCTACCATACTTTGTTGTCTCCCCGCCATCTCCGACCTCCTGCCCGTATGCACCCGGCCCTACTTCGCGGCCGGGTTCACCGCCTTACGTTGGCGTCACCACTTCCCGACCCTCCCCAGCGCAGCCCGTCCTGGTTCCTCGACTCCAGCCAACCCCGCAACAGCATCGCCCGGCCAGCGCCCGACAGACACGGACCGCTAGCGGATATCGAGACGAAAGCAAGACAGAAAAAGAATCCGCACGGTCCCTCCCCCTACTTATACGTGCCATTCGCGCCCAGGGGCCGTGCCAACTCCTCCGTGTCGCTCCAACCTCAACAGAT